AGATATGACTTATTATCTGCATCTTCGTGCACTATTTGACTTTATTTGCCTTGTGCGTGTTATTTAAGGCCGTTTCGGTTTTATAAGTTAGTAAAGGTATATTTTGTCTTACTTTTTTTCCAGCGATGCCCGATATCTTGTTCCATACTGTTTTTATACAAGTACAGTTCGTTCCCGTCTGTGTCGCTCGCGGGGAGCCCCATGTCGTGTGATGACAGTTGAAATCCTCACATATGACTAGGTTGTCACCCGGAATTTGTTTGAAAATCCCATCGAAGTCACATTTTTTAGTTTTGGTGCCTGGTGGGTTGTAAACATTTACTATGCTCAAAGATTGCTTGTTTTCTGTGACAATGTTGATTGTCATTAGCTCTACTTTGTTGAATTGACTTACTATTAATCTACTGAAGGGGATGTTGTTTTTGATATAAATGGCAAGTCCTCCCCCTTTAGATTGACCTGGTCGATCATGTCTCGACATTGTATAGCTGCCTGATTTTATGTCATTGTTTTTGGGAGTTAGCCTCGTCTCTTGTATAGTCAGGATTGTTTTCATAGACATATTGTTTGAGTTCTATCAAACGAGACCGCAAACCATTTACGTTAAGTTGAAAAATATTGATTGGCCTTGCCATTGTAATTGATAATGATTTGTTGTTTTAGGGTATTAGCTTGATTTAAAATACTTCTTCGTTATTGCTTACACTGCACTTGCGCTTGTCTTGGTTGATTATCTCATTGTCAGTTATCATGGGATTGACTCATGTCTTAGTGAATTGTCTTCATCTTCACTGACAACTGAGTTTATGTTTCTTTTGGCTGATAGTCTTGAGTGACTATGGCTTCTGCGGTTTTCTTTTGATTTTGTTGTGGAGGGTGGGGGCATATTTGTTTGCTCTGTCTCGGGAGCCCTTTCGGTTTGAGAGGTTGAATTAAAAGCCTTCGTCTCCTGATATGTAATCTCACAACGCCAGAATTCACCGTCAACAAATTTATTGAACTTTGTTAAATACATGTACATGGACACGTATCAGTCCGATAATACCTTGCTGACTTTTTCATTTCGGCACCAAAGAGTTTGGTGGATGCATACTGTCAATGCTATCGCGTCTCGTGTTCTAATGATTCAAGCATGGTTAAATGGACCATAAACCCCCTCTAAATACGTAACAGGAAGTGTTTATCTCCTAATTATACATGTAGCTTCAGTCCATTCAATACCAGTATTATTACTCAAATGGTTTCTCAATTAGCAGAATGTCAAAATAAAGAAAACACAGTTACACTTACAATATGACTAACTAAGAAGTTATTCGTGTGATTTCACGGAGTTGTTAGGATTTGGCCGGACCCCACCCCACCCGCTACATGTAATACCAATTTGTAACGAGTAATTGTGTGTTACGGTAAAACTCGTGTTTTTTTTAGGAATGTGGATATGTAGGATAGTTCAATTTGTTTTAAATCTTTACAGATTTGAAGGTTCGCGCATGAACAAAATGATGTTTAGTCATCATATTTGCAGTTGACATATTCTATCAATACAATCATTCCTTTTTTTTTTTTTTTTTTTTCCCTTACACCGGTGGTAATAATTTCATTATATAATGCACAAACGTCATTCCCTAATAGACCCACGCTTCTTTAACAACTATAAAGCATGATTTTTTTGTTAGGCAATTTATTCTACACTCTTTGATGTGCTTTATAACTATTAAAGAGGCCCCAATTCATAAGATCTGGTTGTTAGATGTTTACTCTGTGTGTTGATGGATAAAACAATCAAAATTAATATGTGTGTCTGTGATAATTATTGGAAACGGAACGGTTTTAATAATTGGGATAGTTATCGTCTATGGCATGCATACGTTAACCCGTCCACAAGCAAACTCGTACACGGTTAAAGTAATACTTGACTCGTATATAATTTATTTGATTGGAATAAATCAGTTTTACTCATTTTTGGTTGTTTATATTGTTTTATTTATCTAATAATCAACTAGCTTGGCTCGCCATCATGACAGAGATTAGTTCACCGATGTTTTTGTAATAAAGAACAATAGTATTGTTTGTTGATTAGCGTTATGATTTTAGACAAAATGATAAGTTCACCAATGTTTTTGTTATAAAGTAGACCCGTATTGTTTGTTGATTGACTTTATCCCTTGATTTAAACCAGCGGCTGCCAGACAGAATACGCCCACATTTTCGAGAGATGAACAGAGAACAAGCTAAAAAGAAAGTGATTTTTCCTTCAATCAAGGGTCATAATTCATGAAGTTACAATTCGATATGCGCAAATATCGAAAGGAACCAAGATCTTTGGGTTATAAACATCGATTTCAAGTTTCATCAAAATCGGATTAAAATTGTGACCGTATGGTCCACAACCTAGATATACCATATTTTTAAACTATTCGCGTACAAGCGGCGGCCATTTTGTCTAACAGTTTTGGTCCGATTTCACGAAATTCGAACTCAACCTTCATTACGGTGTAACGGTGATATAATCAAACGCTTTTTTTACAATTAGATAATAATTGTGACCTCCAGAGAGACCACAAGCTACAAAAGGCGATTTTTCGTATAATCAGGGGCCATAATTCAGAAAGTTGCGACCCGGTATGCGCAAATATCGAAAGGAATCAAGATCGTTAGAATTATAAACATGCATTTTAAGTTTCATCAAAATCGGATTAAAATTGTGACCTCTAGGGTGCACAACCTTGATATACCATACTTTTACATAATTCGCGTACAAGTGGCGGTCATTTTGTTCGGCAATTTTGGTCAGATGTTAACGTAATTCGAACTGATCGAACCTTCATTACAGTGTAACGGTGATATAATCAAACGCTTTTTTAAATCGGGTAATAATTGTGACCTCCAGAGGGACCACAAGCTAATTAAGGCGATTTTTCGGACAATCAGGGGATCATAATTCAGGAAGTTACGATCCGATGGGCGCAAATATCGAAAGGGACCAAGATCTTTGGGTTATAAACATGCATGTCAAGTTTCATAAAAAATCGGTTCAAAATTGTGACCTCTATAGGGTCCACAAGCTAAAAACGTGATTTTTCGTACAATCAGGGGCCATACAATCAGGGGTCATAATTCAGGAAGTTACGATCCGATGGGCGCAAATATCGAAAGGGACCAAGATCTTTGGGTCATAAACATGCATGTCAAGTTTCATAAAAAAATCGGTTCAAAATTGTGACCTCTATAGGGTCCACAAGCTAAAAACGTGATTTTTCGTACAATCGGGGGCCATAATCCATGAAGTTCCGATCCGATACGAGCCAATATCGAAAGCAGCCGAGATCCTTTAGAGATAAACGTATATTTCAAGTTTCGTCAAAATCGGACCTGTAGAGAGTCCACAAAAAATTGTAGACGGACGGACGTCCAGGGGCGACGACAATATACGTCCACATGAAAATGTGGGCGTATAAAAATTGGCGATGGTTAATATTGGGTCAAAAAAAATTTCTTAAAGTGCGCCGGAGCACCTTTTAGATAAACAAAGTGGCTACGTGCAATTTTATTCTTTCATCTTTCATACACGGGACATTTCTGTCATTCAAACCAATCTGCACGTAAATGAATACATGACAAGTTGACAGTTAAATTGAATTGGGGTTCATGTGGAATAGGCTTTTCGATCGAAATACAGTTATTCTTTTCTAAAATAAAACAAGTGCCATGGATTTTTGTGTGGATTTGAAAGCGGTTATAATTAACTAATATTCTCTTACATCGGAGACTTGTGTTGTGTTCAGTTAGTTTTTGCGGTAAGTACGAGCTTACGTCTTACTTGAAAGCGCTTTCGAATCCCATTGCAAGTTCTATTTATGTCTTATTTCTATTTGTAAGACCGATAACCAAATAGTTGGCAATTTAAAAGTCTATCTTTGCCGTGATTCGAGAGTAATTCTTAACTATACACTCTTAATACAGTAAATGTGGAAAACAATTTGAACACAGCATAAATATCTGAACTGTGTAATACATGTATAGTCTTATTAGACATGCAGCTTTACGTGACTAGTTGGAAATATATCCGCATGTATATCGTGCAGAATATGTAAACACGCGTGTTCTCACTATACTAGTAGTAGTTATTAGCACACTTTCCTCGGTGTATCGGTGAAGATCGGGACAGTTTTTGTCGCGAGGTCCAGCCGAGGCGGTCCCCGACCAAAACTGTCCTGATCTTCACCGATACACAGAGGAAAGGTGCTAATAAGTCACTTACATCACATTTCTATGGAGTATTGTGAAGCGAAATGTAAAAAATAGTATTTATTATCGAGTCGTGTCAAGCGATTGGTAGATGTCATCGTTTGGGGTTAGGCACCTAAACACTTACCCCAAACGATGACATCTACCAATCCAGAAGCAGACGAGATCATCTACCAAATGATATGTTTTATATTAAATAAAGGGAAGAACTTCCCACTAAACCAAATCCATGGCCTAAGGCCAAATGGAAAGATTGCAAAATCATATTCTTAAAAACAGGAATCAGCTTCGGCTCTTCTATGTCTTGTCTGCGATATCACTTAGGTGGAAGCAGACGTTAAACACCAAGAACTAACTAACTAATAAGCGAAATGTGACAAATACTTTCTGCTCTTTCATTTATCCCTTTCTGTGCCTCACATTACATTTCGTGGTAGAATGATTTCGCAGTGGAGAAACGACCTGAGTAGTATTTACACGTGGATCTTGCTGCGTTACCCTGAGCGTAGCCAAAGGACTTAGATTTTATTATGATTGTGTTGAAAGTTATAATTGCAATATTTTTTAGGTAAACGAAGATGCAATACCAGATGATTTTTTGCGTGCTGATGTAACAGTGAAAGTGGAAAGGCACTTGATATTTTCTACAACTCGACAATTATCTTTGCTAGCTAAATCCAGTCAATGGTTTGTAGATGGGACTTTTAAGATCGTAAAAAAACATTTTATCAACTTGTATCCATACACAGTTTAGTGAAATCAGGTAGTCAAATGAAAATGGTGCCACTCTGCTATATTCTAATGTCAAGAAGAAGGAAAATTGATTACATAAAAGTATTTAGAAAATTGGTGGAATTGTTAAACCGGAAGAACCGAAGGTTAAGTGTGCCACAATGGACTTTGAAGCAGCAACATGGAGGGCATTTGAAAAGTATTGCCGGACGTGAAAGTGAAACTATTTCACTTTACCCAAGCTATTTGGAGACGGTGTCAAGAGCTTTTGCAGGTAACTTGATTACTTTATAATGACATCATTTTGATCACTTAAAGGCAGTAATTTACTTTATTTTCATAGAAAGCGTACTGAACACACAAAGCCACGTCATTTTGTAATTTGTTTTCTGATTTATTTTCAGAAAAAGTACAGGACACACAAAGGCACATCAGAGTTTATAAGGAAATTAATGAGTCTGCCATTTGTACCAAAATCCCACATACTTGAAGTCTTCCAGCAACTTAAAGCCAAGACTACATGCCCAGATTTACTAGAATTAACAGAGTATGTCCAGGGACAATGGATGCAACACTCCATTTTTAAAATTGGATCCTGGTCCGTATTCAACCAGACCATACGGACTAATAACCACGTTGAAGGTGGGTATCTTTGACTTATTCATGAAATTATTTATGCCAGTAATTGAAATAATTAGTTTAATATTTAATTAAATATCCCCAATACACTGTACTAAATAAATATGTTTTATTTTTTTAGGTTGGCACAGGAGAATCAATAACAAGGCTGGAGAGCAGAAGTTGGGGCTTTACAAATTGATAAATTTTCTGTATGATGAGGCCCAGCTTCTGCCGCTCCAATCTGCTTTGATATTTGAGGGGAAACTACCTCGGTATTTACTAAAAAAAAGAACCGAAAGACAGGATGAAATTTTTAATTCCTGGAAGGAATACAAAGAAGGTAATATTAGTGTATCTATGCTGCTACGTGTATGTGCAAGAGTACATGGTCCGGTCCGGTCCAGTAGTTGAAGTTGAAGATATATTGACCAAATATTTATTAAATTTTGTAATAGTGTAATCAATATATATTTGTATGTTTTACATCTATATTATATTTTGTATGTTTTACGTATTATGTTAAATCTCTGTTTTGTTGTACTAAATGTTTTGTTGTATTAAATTAATGTTTATAAAATGTATGTATCTATATTATCTATATCTATATGTTATTGTTAATAAATATCATTTCCTACATGTAAAAGATTTTTTGTTTTTAGTGGGGCCGTTATGACCAAATTTTTTGGCCGTTTCGACCAAAATTTAGGGTCGTTATGACCAAAATTTTGGCCGTTATGGTTTAGGGCCGTTTTGTCTATAACCCAAACAGTCATGTGTTTTTCTTTAGACTGCACTCCGTATTGAAAGACGAAGTTGTTTTGACGAGGTCAGTGAACATAGAGCCAACCACATCGTCAAAACAACTTGTCCCTGGTGTAGAGGACTGCAATTATATTAAAGATAGGTTGCCAGGCAACGAAACATATGCCCACAGCAGCTAACTCGTCCGGGCCGTCAACATGAGTTGTCACATATTTTTACTTTTTTCGGTAATGAAACATTTATAATACATTAAAATCTGATTAAGAGTAACAACTCATTAAGTAATTATCAGAAAACCATTAGAATTTGTTTGGTTTTTATAAAGTTTTGCCCCATGGTAACGTTTAGTATAGGAAACTTTTAACATCATGGATTTAGCTGTTCAAGTCATAAAAATTCATTGAAAATCAATATACTTGTTTGTCTCAAGACCTTACACTCTGTGTATCAATCTGAACTCAATCGGATGATAACTTTAGCTTCTAGAGGGTCATAAGGTTTTTAAAAGTGATCAAGGGCCATAACTTTGGCAGTAATTATCGGAAATCGTTGTAAATCAATGATTCTTCGTCTCATGACCTCAAACACTCTGTATCAATTTAAAGTCAATCGGATATTAACTTTAGCCTCTAGAGCATTTACAAGATTTTTTGAAGTGATCAAGGGCCATAACTCTGGCAGTAATTATCAAAAATCGCTGAAAATGAATAAACTTCTTATTCTCATGACCTTAAACATTGTGTATAAATTTAAACTCAATCGGATATTAACTTTAGCCTCTAGAGCGTCCACAAGATTTTTCAAAGTGATCAAGGGCCATAACTCTGGCTGAAAATCAATAGGCTTCTTCGTCTAATGACCTTAAACACTGTGTATAAATTTAAAGTCAATCGGATATTAACTTTAGCCTCTAGAGCATTTACAAGATTTTTTGAAGTGATCAAGGGCCATAACTCTGGCAGTAATTATCGAAAATCGCTGAAAATGAATAAACTTCTTTGTCTCATGACCTTAAACACTGTCATGACCTTAAACACTGTGTATAAATTTAAACTCAATCGGATATTAACTTTAGCCTCTAGAGCGTCCACAAGATTTTTCAAAGTGATCAAGGGCCATAACTCTGGCAGTAATTATCGGAAATTGCTGAAAATCCATAGACTTCTTCGTCTCGTGACCTAAACACTGTGTATAAAGTCAATCGGATAGTAACTTTGACCTCTAGAGCTTCCATAAGATTTTTTGAAGTGATCAAGGGCCATAACTCTGGAAGTAATTATTGGAAATAGCTGAAAATCAATAGGCTTCTTCGTCTCATGACCTTAAACACTGTGTATAAATTTAAAGTCAATCGGATATTAACTCTGACCTCTAGAGCGTCCACAAGATTTTTTGAAGTGATCAAGGGCCATAACTCTGGCAGTAATTATCGGAAATCGCTGAAAATCAATAGGCTTCTTCGTCTCATGACCTTAAACACTGTGTATAAATTTAAAGTCAATCGGATATTAACTTTAGCATCTAGAGCGTCCACAAGACGGACGGACGGGGGCGACGACAATATACGACCACATTTCAATGTGGGCATATAAAAATAATGTAAAGGACACTGCACAACGTGGGTCAATCCTGGTGAAGTGTGCATAGGTGGATGGTTCGTCCGTTGAAATTTATTTGTAATAAAATTTATGACTTTCTAGGCGTTTGTTTTCATCCTGCTTGTATAAAAGTGTTCGTTTGTCGGAAATGAACATTACTCTTTATGGAAAGTGTACTGTTCATTTCTGATACACGGATACTTTTATGCCTGTATTGGAAATAAACAGGACAGTTTTATCAAAGGTTGCCACTGGCAACGAGGTAGAAGTGGGATGTAATGTGGCCTAACAGGTCTGTATTATTAACGAAACAAGCCAACAGTGAGGCTGATGTTCCCCGCCCTAATCCCAAAATAAATAGATGACACATATTAATTAATTGCACATTTATTTTTTTCAAAAGTATCCAGCAATCAAACTACACACTAAGTTTCATCACTCTCTATCAGATAGAATCAAGATTATCTTGTCCCAAAGCATCGACCAATGAAATTGATTAGCTCTGCTTAGCTTTAGCTTGAAATGTTAATCATTGAAATCAGTCAAGACATTCACCTAATGAACACCTACATCAGGTTTAAACATTCTATCTCAATTAAAAGCAGAGTTTTTATGTTCCAAAGTCTTGACCAATCAAATTGCTTATCGCTCTTTAGCCCAGTCAGAAAATTCACAATCGAACTTAGTCAAGGTAATGATATAATGAATCTATATTCAGAGTTTTATCGCTCTCACTTCATTATAACCAAAGTTATCGTTCCCCTAAAGCATCAACCAATCAGATTGCTTATCTCTGCCTACCATAAGCAGACAATGTTCATCATCGAACTACATCAAGGGATTCACTTAATGAATGCCTACACCAAGTTTGAACATTCTACCTGAATTAGAAGGAGAGTTATAGTGTTCCAAAGTCTCGACCAATCAAATTGATGTAATAAAGCTATACACCAAGTGTCCTCACTCTCACTTAATTAGAACTAAAGTTATCGTGTCCCAAAGCATCAACCAATCAAATTGCTTATCTCCGTTTACCCTAAGCAGAAAATGCTCATCTTCGAACTCCATCAAGGTATTGACCTACTAAACACCTACACCAAGTTTGAACATTCTAGTTCAATTAGAAAGAGAGTTATTGTGTCCCATAAAATGTGACAGACAAACAGACGGACGGACGAACCCATTTTAATAATCCCCTGCTTTCTTCGAATGGCGAGGGAAAAATATTCAACATTCATAACATTATGGCAGTATATCGCTTTGACATCGATTGTTTATGACAAATAAATACTGTTAATTTTGCATGTAAAATTACAACGAGGCCGAGTGTGTCACTCGACTATCGTGACACGCGATAGCGACTGCTACACCGATTTATTTATCGTGGCAATTTTCAACAAAAAACGACACAATAATCGTGTTTCGTCAAACATGTTTCTGACTGATGGGATTCACTTCAATGCTTGTTTTAATAATTATTTGATGCATGAGTAGGTCTTTAACTTTTATAAGTTTTTCTTCATAGACAACAAGTGCAATAACAGGATTAAGAGCTGGTAGATTAAGTAGGCACTGGTTAATCTATGCTCAAGGAAATTTTGAATTTTATGTATTCCGTTTTGTTTTCTTTTTCGAATTACAATTTGACTCCATGTGTCTTTTATGTCCTTGGGTAGAACCTAAAAAGAAGAGAAAATTTACTTGTATTTATGTAGGTCTAAGTCAGTTTAAACATGTTCCAATCAACTTGTCTTAAAACTCAAAATTAACAATAGTTTGGCATACAAGCTACGCCCACATTTTGCAAGAGAAGGACAGAGAAGAAACTAAAAATAAAAAAAGCAATTTTTCATACAATCACGGGCCATAGATATTGTGTACAATCAGGGGCCATAATTATTGAAGTTACCGGTCAATATGTGTGAATATCGAAAGGAACAAAGATCGTTGGGATATAAACATATATTTTAGGTTTCATCAAAATCAGATACAAATTGTGACCTCTAGAGGCCCCACAACCTTGGTATTATACTTTTACACTATTTGCATACGGGGAGTGGCCATTTTGTCAGGCAGTTTCAGTCCGATTTTCATGAAATTCAAACTCAACTATCATTATAGTGTAACTGTGAAATATTTAACAGTTTTTGTAAAATTGCGACCTCTAGAGGGTCCACAAGCTAATAACACGTTTTTCGTGCAATCAGGGGCCACAATCCAGGAAGTTATAGTCCAATATGTTGGGTTATAAACATACATTTTTTAGGTTTCATCAAAATCATATTTTGTCCGGCAGTTTTGGTGTAACAGTGATATACTAAAACGTGATTTTTCGTACAATCAGGGGCCATAATTCAGGAAGTTATGATCCGATATGCGCAAAGATCGAAAGCAACCAAGATCTTTGGGTTATAAACATGCATTTCAAGTTTCATCAACATCGGATCAAAATTGTGACCTCTAGAGGGTCCACAACCTTGATATACCAGATGTTTACACAATTTGCGTAGGGGGGTGGCCATATTGTCTTGCAGTTTTCGTCCGGTTTTCACAAAATTTGAACTCGACCAACCTTATGGTGTAACAGTGATATATTCAAACGTTTTTTTCAATCAGATAATAATTGTGACCTCTAGAGGGACCACAAGCTTAAAACGTGATTTTTCGTACAATCAGGGGACATAATTCAGGAATTTATGGTTCGATATGTGCGAATATCAAAAGGAACCGAGATCTGTGGGTTATAAACATACATTTCAAGTTTAATAAAAAATTGGTTCAAAATTGTGACCTCTACAGTGTTCACAAGCTAAAAACTTGTCCATGAATCCATGAAGTTACAGTCCGAAACCTATATTTCAAGTTTCAATGAAATCGGATAAAAATTGTGACCTGTGGAGTGTTCACAAACAATTGTGGACGGACGGACGGACATAGGCGACGACAATACACGTCCACATGAAAATGTGGGCGTATAAAAAGAGCGAAAGCCCGGGCCTAGTTGGCTTCACTCCTGAATTCTTCAAATTCTTCTGGAAAGATATTGGACAATTACTACATAGATCAATAAACTACTCGTATCAAGTTGGTGAATTGTCTCTGACAAAACCCGGGAAATGTAGAAACTTACTAAAAAACTGGAGACCAAATACACTCTTAAATACTTGTTATAAACTAATATCAGCCTGTATTAGGCCTGCAGCCAAAATTTCTACCTTGCTTAGAAACACAATTCAGCTACATGGTCCTCCCAAATAAACAAACTATACATTTTTGGAAAGCTTTTAACACCAGAAACACAATTGTGAAGTTGAAACAAAATTAAATATTGGCGAATACACCCGATGCCTTCACCCTAGGCAAAGAATATGCTGTTGGTTAAGTTTTGGCGTAAAGCAAAATGCAGAAAACATAATGGACAAGGGAATATACAGAATTTTTCAAATTCATTACCGGTAATATAGAGTTATCTCCCTTTCTGTCAAATGTTTGCAATAAGTAACAGTATTTCAGGTGCGTGTTGACTGCTGATGCTGTATGACACACAAGACCATGTGTGAGCACACAAGCCCAATATTTATATTGTTAATGGGGTCACAGGGGACTGCAAGGGTTGGTGAACAGGTGTTTACCCAAAAATTATGGGCGGAGCGCATGGACTGATGAGCAAGGAGATATGTTTGACATTGGTTGAGCAATATGTCTATGAAGTAATGGAGACCAGACTATGTCAGTAGTTTTGTAAATCGCATTGAAACCATGTGATTTTTTACACTAATACCTAAACCCACACCAACATACCCTTTCAATTAGACCCTAAGTTATTTTTACTACAGGTAGCTGTAAACCTCTAGTTCAGATATTTAAGGCCAAATTACAAACATTTAATCTGAAACCGTATCTATAATTGTGTCATTTGCTAACAAATATAGATTTAAAACAAAAATTATTTATTGAAGTAAATCAATTATTGAAAATCAAAATTACGCAGCTACTCTTCACTTTAAATGTTATCAAAGTTAGTCGTTATCATCATCACTGTCACTACATGTATAAACATCAAGTTCGGTTTCTTTAACAGTCTTTTTGTTTCATTTTCACATTTATTACACTTACACAGTCAGTGGTATGGGATAGAGGGGACTGGAATAACAATGCCCAGTCGTTTGGATGGGAGGGGGAGGAAGAACGATAGTTTAAACAATATTTGATTCAATAAACTGAATCGGATTGAGCAACAGGTAAGGGGCTACATGGGCGTAGGAGGCTAATCTCGGTTGGGGGTGGGGGTGGGGGGCTGAGCCTATTTGCCTGAAAAATTTGTCACCCAAATTTTCTGAATGAATCCATCATTAACTAAAATGAATTTCCCACAAAGCTGTGATGGTTGTTTATTTTGAATTAATTACACAAATATACAATTATATTTCCACGAGATATAGTCGCATCCTTCATTCTCTGAAGCTTGTGCCCGAAAAAGTGAAATACATTGTCCGAAAAATGGACGGTTCAACGAATCTGGGAGGGCGGGTGTGCATATAAGCTCTCCCAAAACAGTATTTCTACTAATATATATGTAAACTTTTAATTCAGATTCGATTTGGGGCAAAATTTGGATCCAATATTTGAATTGAAACGTAGCATCTATATGTAATTTCTTCACTAAAATAAATATATGTCAAAACCTAAGTAATACTGTAAGTGAATGGCAATTGTAATGCAGAGAAAAAAATCAACCTTTATAATAAAGATGTACATACGCCCGCCATACATTACGGTCTACTCTTTATTTCGAATTTGAAGTTCTTTTACGTGCACGTCAACGTGTGCACGGGACCTCCGTTTTATATTCCATCCGAATAACTGGACGCTACCCATCACAGCCCCCCCCGCCGCTTTCTGCACCACTGACAAGGGGAAACAACACTGGAAAGTGGAAAGTTTGGGGAACTGTCTAGGTCAACACAGGCATCAAACCCCAGACCTCCTGATTAGTAAGCCACGGACAAGGGGAAACAATGCCCCCCACGCTAGAAATTTTGGCTGCTGGCCTGGTATTGCAAACAGGATAAACCAGCGGCTGCCAGGCAGGATACGCCCACATTTTGCAAGAGATGGATAGAGAACAAGCTAAAAACAAACGTGATTTTTTGTACAATCAGGGTCAAAAATCATAAAGTTATGGTCTGAATGGCGCAACCATCAAAAGGGACTGAGATCTTTGGGATATAAAGATATATTTTAATATATCAGAATCGGATAAAAATTGTGACAGGGGTGACGACAATATACATCCACATGAAAATGTGGGCGTATATAAACTGATTGATAAAACAATTAACGACCTTTGGCTAAATTACAATGGGTTAATTATTACATGTTGATTACGAAGTCAATCAACATGCTTCTCAGCTACAATAACAGTCATAACATAGTGAGAATCGGCCATGTGGTTGATAATCTGAGCAATTAACACATTTAAAGGTAAATTTGATAATCCCGTAAAAAAACAAGCGGTTGCCATGCAAGATACACCCACATTTTGCAAGAGATGGACAAGCTAACGTGAGTATTGCTACCACTGCAATATACCATCCACATTGCTGCTTTGATTGATATGGTACTTTTTAAAATGAAAAGAATAAAATATGAAAATGCTGCATCGACTTCAAGATGACAAGAGGCAAAAAAGGCTATTTACAGACTAAATATTAACAAGTGGGTGTGACACCAAAATAAATAAATAGTTGGCGTCCTTATAGTATAAGGAATAAATATGCCAAGTTCAAAGTTCCAGAATTGCAGCCTGTAGACAAAAAACACAAAAATTAGCGGTGGCTTGCCCCTGGGGGTTGGGCATGGACCAGTATAAATAGGTACAACCCTATGATGGATCATGCCGAAAATGGACAAAATCTGTTAATAATTGCAACCTATAGATTATTTGTAGATAAAATATTAACAAAAAAGTGGGTGTGGCACTGCTCAAGTGGGTCGGATCATGCACCAAAATCAATGAAATGAAATGGGGTTTAATGTCCTACTGTTCTGCTCCGACTGGGCTAATGAAGACGGGCATATGCCATACAGTGTGCTATGAGGGAAATTTTGCACGTGTAGCGGCACTATGGCCTACTCTTATATCGAATTCCAACTGCCAAGGGATCTTTTACGTGCATGCCAATGTATACACGGGACCTCGGTTTTTAGTCCCATACGAACGACTAGACAGCCGTCCTTATAAGGCCCTCCATCCTGCACCACTGACAAGGGAAAACCACATCAGAAATGAACTTTCTCGGCCAATGAACCAAAATCAATAGTTGCCATCATAAGTATACCAAGTTCCACCAAGATAATCCATTCAGAATTGTGGCCTTCAGGCGCAAAACAGACAATTTGGGAGTGGTTCTGCCCCTGGGGGTTGGGACATACACCAAAATCAATAATTGCCATCCTTACGCTATAAGGAATACATATGCCAAGTTCCAAGATAATCCATTCAGATTTGCGGACTGTGCACGATAAACAGAAACAATGGGCGTGGCAAGTACCAAAAACAATAGGCATCATCCTTAGGGTATAAGGAATAAGTCTGCAAAGTTTCAAGACGATACACAGACGCACACATAAATACATATGCAGAGACAGAGGCGACACATTATATGTGAAACAAGGGTCATAATTCTAAAAGTAATTAATGGAAATTGCTGAGATTCAATAGGCTTTTTTGTTTTACTATTTTAAGTAATGCATATAAATTTCATACAGATCAGATGATAACGTTAGTCGTTCACAGGGTTCTTTAGAGTGAAACAAGGGCCATAACTCTAGACATAATTTATGGAAATTGCTGAACTTCAATAGTAATCTTTGTTTCACTAATCTAAATAATGCATATAAATATCATACAGTTAGGATGACAGCTTTTGTTGTTAAAGCGTTCACAGAGTTCAACAAAGTGAAACAAGGACCATAACGGAAATTGTTGAAAATCAATAGGATTCTTCCCTTTACTAATTCAAAGGATGCATATAAAGGAACTGAGATCTTTGGGATATAAACATACAACGTATATATTGAATTTCATCAAAATCGCACAAAAATACTGATTTCTAAAGGGTCCACGACCTTCGTATTACATACTTTAAGACTATTTGCGCACATGGAGCGTCCATTTTGTCGGGCAGTTTCGTTTCGATTTTCCCGAAATTCGAAAATAACCATCAATATGGTATAACCGTGATATATTGGAACGATTTTTAAAATGTGATAAAAATTCTGACCTCTAGAGGGTTCACAAGCTTAAATCACGATTTCTTTGTACAAGAAAGGGCCATAATCCAGGACGTTATGGTCCAATATGTGCGAATATCAAAAGGTACCGGTATCTTTGGGATTTAAACACTTGTTTTAAGTTTCATTAAAATCAGATTAAATTGTGACCTCTAGAGGGTCCACAACCTTGATATTACATAGTATTTGTGTACAGGGAGCGGCCATTTTGTCAGGCAGTTTCGATCTGATTTTCACGAAATTCGAACACACTCATTAGTATATATAATGGTTATATAATCGAACGTCTTTTTTAATCGGATAAAAATGTTGACCTCTAGAGGGACCACAAGCGAACAATGTGACTTTTTGTACAATTATGGTCCAATTTGGTGAACTGAGATCTTTGGCCTATAAACATACATTTCAAGTTTCATCAAAATCAGATAAAATTGTGACCTCTAAGAGTGTTCACAAGCTAAAAACATGATTTTTCGTTCAATCAGGGGCCATAATCCATGAAGCTAGGGTCTGATACATGCCAATATCGAAAAGAACCAAGATCTTTTGGAGATCATCAAAATCATATAAAAATTGTGACCTGTAGATTGTGGACGGACAGGGACGATGACAATATATGTCCACTTGAAAATGTGGGCATATAAAAATGAACGTATCATGAAGCCAAGAGCAATTGATAACTAACCTATTTTTTTTTCTTGTTCAGGAAGAGCTTTCTTTAGTGCTGCCTGCCACAAGGCACTTTTTACAAATCTTTTACTAGCTTCTTTATCTAACTTTGGTGCTTTAGCTTTATCTTGTATATCTTTAACTCTACTCATATAACCTCGAATTCTATCCTGTAACAGTTGAGTGGTGAATTTATAAAATTCAATCTGAGCAATTGATGACAAAGTACAAGTTGTGATTCTTACAGTGGCTGGGAAAGGACATAACTGACTTTATTTTCACCAATGTATCTGAATGGATTGAGTTAAGAATGCGTTTGCGAGAGAACCGTGCAGGGACCGGCACATGGTGGGTGACCGATTTTCACCATTTTTTTATGTATGATGGTTAACCCCTCCAAACCCCACTGCCACAATTTTAAATCAATCGAGCCATTTTTAGAGCGTAGAGAAAAATTTGAAATTTTAACAACGAAAAAAGCCAAAAAATCATCATTTTCAGGCCACTTTTCAATTATCTCGTACAACTAAATGAAATGAAATGAAATGAAATGGGGTTTAACGTCCTACTGTTCTGCTCCTATACTGGGCTAATGAAGACGAGCATACGCCATACAGTGTGCTATGAGGGAAATTTTGCCCGGGCAGCGGCACTATCGCCTACTCTTATATCGAATTCCAACTGCCAAGGGATCTTTTATGTGCATTCTAATGTATACACGGAACCTCCGCTTTTCGTCTCATCCGAAAGACTAGACAGCTGTCCTTGTCAGGCCCTCCGTTCTGCACCACTGACAAGGGAAAACCACGTCGGAAAATCTGGATGAACTTTCTCGGCCAATGCAGGGATCGAACACCCGACCTCCAGGCTAGCGAGCCAGCGTCTTAACCACCTAGCCACTGTGGCTCCTCGTACAACTAAACTACTGCGAGTAGATTAATGAAACTTTATAGCGTAGCAGATATGGTTAGTGAGTATACATTCTGAAAGTTTGATGGCTTTTCATGGAGCGGTTTTTGGTATAGGGACTTATTGCTGCAAGGTACCAAAATAGCTCAATTTAGGTATGTCATTTTATTCTATCTATATCTAACCCACTGCGGGTTTAAGTATTTTTTTGGAAAGCTGACTGAAAAGACAATGATCTATAGTATTAAGATCAAGAAAAAAAATTGGGTGGCACTCGACCCATTTAGTAGTAAATAATTTCCATTTTTGTACAAAAATAACGATTTTTAACAAAAATGACGAAATATAAACCGCTTTATTTACACACTCAAAAGTGTAACATGGCATTTGAAACCAAATTAACGTGGTTTCCAGTTCCGTTAAGAGCAAGCCATAATAAAAATAGAAATAAACAAATAAATATAAACGCAGATTATATACTTTCATCAAAAAATTAAAGTTTAAAAAATGTTCCATTATCAAAACTACAAATGTTAATACTTATTACTATCTATATGTTAATACTTATTACTATCTATCTATCTATCTATTTATTTATTATGACCAAGCATAATGACCAGTCAGTTTTAGATAGTATTTGAATTCTCATGGTTAATATAAATCAGGATAGTAGCGAATTAGTTAAGTATTTAATCCATTATTGTTTATTTATGTTAATGTCTCTAGTGATAATCCTGTATAGTATATGTTTTGATGTCAACACCTGAGCTTATCCAATTATATACTATTCAAAAAAAGTAGGGGATATTTGATTTTTAAGTGTTATTAAAGTCACCTAATGAAACTGACGAAGAAACAAATGACAAAATGAAATGAAGTTCACATTCATCGATTTATTTATTCCAAATGATCGTTAGACTAAGTAAGGCACAGACTGACCATTATAAGGGTAAAATGATACCCGGGGTCAAACAGCAAAGTTACCACAGCATCACAACCAAGTCAGTAACGGGTAAATCCTCCTCTGTTTGCCAAACAAGCATTGATCCGACGTGGCATACTCCTAATGAGACGTCTAAGGTCATTTTGGTCCAGATTGTCCCATTCCTGTTGCAACGCAGCAGCAAGTTCTTGGACATTGGCAGGACGTTGTTGACGTTGACGTAACCTCTGTCCAAGCATGTCCCAGACATGCTCGATGGGGGAGAGGTCGGGACTCAGTGCTGGCCAAGGTAATGTGGTGATGTTCTGTTGTTGGAGGTAACCTGTAACGATCCTGGCCCTGTGACATCTTGCGTTGTCATCCTGGAAGATGAAACGGCGGCCATGACGTCGTGCGAACGGCACAACATGGACTGCCAAGATGTTGTCCCGGTAGTACTGGCCTGTAACACGCCCTGCAACAACATGTAAAGCCGTTCTTCCAGCAACAGTGATGCCTCCCCACACCATAACAGAACCACCCCCAAATCGATCATGTCTGATGACGTTAACGCCTTGGAAGCGCTCGTTTCGACGACGCCACACCCTCCTACGTCTGTCCAAAAAATCAACAGTGAACCTTGACTCATCTGAAAACATCACATTGCTCCAGCGTCGATTATCCCAGTGTTGACGATCCCTACACCAACGACGTCTTGCCTGAATATGATGATCTCTCAAACAAGGGATCACGCGAGGATGTCGGGCGCGAAGGTGACCCCTATGCAGTCGATTCCGAAAATTCTGGCCACTCACTCTCACACCAGTGTCTGTTTGAAGACGAGCGCTGATCTGATTTGCTGTGATGACACGATTTCTCAAGGCCAAGGTACGGATAAATCGATCCTGGGCTTGAGTTGTCGCCCTTGGTCGACCTGAGCGTGGTCTGTCCTGTACAGATTGTGTATCACGGTATCTGGACCATAGCCTGCTTATGACAGACTGAGAAACATTCATCGTCCGCGCCACAACCGCCTGTGTTGTGCCGATCTGTAGCATGCCAAGGGCACGTAACCTTTCATTTTGGGTAAGCCGACGCATATCAAAATTTGTTTTCTGGTCACTAAAACAATTAAACTGATGTTTCCACCCTGGAATTCAATGCCACAATGACTGTAACATTCAAAGTCAGAGTCGTGCAAATCTTGGGTTGGACCCCCATGATGATCCCAAGCATCACCTGCATTCCATGCGGTAGCTATTGGTGCGTTTGGGCGTCACATGTAACTGGAAATGTTTCTTCTGTTAGGTTCTATAGTGACTTTTTTCGTAGTCATTTGCATATTTTAGTATTATGCCCCCAAAATCAAATATCCCCTACTTTTTTTGAATAGTATAGTTAGAATATAAAAAGGCTAATGTACATCAATAGGCAAGTCATTAGGTCAATCGACTTAGTAGCAGCTACGTCGGTCATCCACTGTGCTGTAGGTATACATTGTATGTATTGAATTATTGTCATTTGTAAGATATAAGTTCCAGTAATTAAAAGATTGAAGAACCATTCCAGACTTATTAGTTATTGAAGAACCTAGCAGTTATATATGGTATAATTGGATAAGCTCATGTGTTGAAATCAAAACATATACTATACAGAATTATCACTAGAGACATTAACATAAATAAACAATAATGGATTAAATACTTAACTAATTAGCTTCTATCCTGATTTATATTATTATTAACCATGAGAATTCAAATACTATCTAAAACTGACTGGTCATTATGCTTGGTCATACTATCTATCTATCTATCTATCTAGCGCTATCTATCTATTTATCTATCTATCCAATAAGTATCTAATCACGAAAACGGAGCTCACAATTACACCGTTAAAATTTTCAAACGATGAAGTTTGAAAAGCTTAATTTACTGTAAATGCCAAAAGAGCTGTTCTTGGTAAATACAATTAATCTCTCTAGACTATTTGTCAACATTTTATTAATTCGGCAATATAACCTCATGATCTAGTAGAAGGATGATGAATTTTTGAACAGCAAATCGTAAAAACTAAATAGTGTAGTAGTCATATATATATATCTGTCTATACTTGAAAAACGAATCAAGCGATATTTCAAAAAGACAAAAAACAAATTGTATATGACCGTAAGGTCACTATTTTAGCATACTCCCCGCAGTGTTTCGTTTTATTAGACCTAATCCCACTCAACACGGCCGTAATGAAAGCAAATTTCTGTTCCAAATTATGATTGGTCAATAGTCTGATTAACAACCAATACCTAACTGTGTAACAATATAATTCTGGTTTAAACAGAGTTTCAAATATGTTAACATAACGTTATGTCATGATTCACGAAATTTATTACGCCCAATTAATCAGTGCATAGCAGAATATTGCAGAAAAACTAATTGCGTGACTAACGAGGCTATCAACATGGCTACAATGTAAACAATACCGTTTGGAGACGAACAATACTTTCACCGTTTTTAATACCTTAAATCACTGTCCAAAGTTTTAGGGAAGACCCCAGATTAAACGAAAGTGCAAATCTAACTTTGGCCTGACGAATAATAATACTATTATTAGTATGTACATTTATATAACACACGTACTCCATTTACAGAAGAATGTCCACTGCGCATACAATTTAATTAATCTTGATAAGTCTTGATGTAAAACAAGAAAGGGTTTGAGATCATTTAATGATCTCTGGAAGATTTTTACGCCGTTTAGGCGCATTCACTGAGCACGATCCGTATCCAAATGATATTAATTTCCACCTGATGAATGTGTGTTTGGCCGGAGGTTACTCGAGGGAATTTGTATGTGCATAAAGTTAGATAAGTATATTTGAGCTAAGCCATTCACACACTGATACGTCAAAGACAGACTTTTGAAGATGATTGGCAGCCAATAGATTGATTTCAGAACAGGAGTAATATGAGAGTGTTTTGGTGATCTGGTAAGAATTCGAGCTGCAGTATTTTCTACAAGTTGATGTTTTTTAATATTGGCACTAGATGTTCCTACTAACAAGCTGTTACAGTAGTTAATCCTTGAGAATACCAAAGAACATATAAGTGTAGCCGCTGCTTCCTGGCTAATAAAGTGTTTATATGGCCAATTTTCACTAATGTAACTGCCCATGCTCAAATTGGACCCCAAGAGGACACCTAACCTCTTCACAGTGTCTCATGGTACAAATATTACATCTCGTACAACCACATCATTTTTACTTGTATTTTTCAGATGTGTATTTTGACCACATAAAATACATTCTGATTTACTTAATTCAATTAAATTTAATTTCAACATATT